GCTTCAATTGCTGTGTTTCTTGTCAGCAATTACCTTTATAATCAACATAGGTTATTCAAAATATGTTAATTACTGATAAGGAACTAAAGCCCAATTCTAATAGTCACAAAAACAAAAAATTTGGTTGCTTTCTTACATTACAAACTTATACGTGCACACCACACACACGTGTGCACGCACACACATATACACACACACACTCCCCAGAGCACACTTTGGTTATTTTATTTCAGGTGCAGTATTGGTACATGAGGAATAATAGAGGGAATCATAACACCCATGGAGAGCGTTGGTTTCAGATAGCAATTCCAGAGTGGTTTTCATGCCAGAGGCTCACATCCTGTCTGTGGTTCACTACGGAAAATGGAGTTGAGCAAAATGAGGGACAGAGACCAATTTTCCTTTGCTCTAAAGACACCTCACGCTTTGTACAATAAGTGTTTTCCATTAGAAGGAAAATGCTGCGCATTAGTGCTCCTGAGAAAAAATAGTGATTGCCAGTAATGCCATCAGGAAACGATTTTTAAAATGTTTCACAGTATAAGCACGAATCAATCATTAAGTAGGGGAAACAACTTACTTTGCAGACTTGGAACATTAATGACAACATTTTTTGAAGGTAGAGTTATTTTAGGAGAGTGTGAATTTTGATTTTAGGAACATGCACAAGGGATAGAGTATGAAGTGCAAGTCAGAATGCTTCATTAAAATAAACAAGAACAGAGCCAAGACCCAGAATACACGAACCTCTGTCCTGTGAGTTTCGTTGGGGAGAGTGGAACAGGATGAGACATGGCTAAATGAGGCATCACCAATAATCTCAAGAGTAGACTCGGCATCCTTTTTGTCGTGCTGGGCTGCTGGTGCCTGGTCATGTGCTATACTGTGGAGCTACACTAGGCCTTGGGAGTTGATTTTTGTAATGAAAAGTATATGGTGCTTTCAATAAGCTTCTGTTTAAAAATTATCATGATTTAAGATGCTTTTCAGAAAATGCGGACAATGGAAAAGACTACATTAATTAAATATTTTTAAATGATAGACAACCCTTTCTGACTTGTCACAGACCTGTTCTTTATGACAAGTTACCCTGATGTTGGCTGATCATAGAGGGAAAGGTCAAGTACAGGTCTCCACTGTGGGCATTATCTTCCACTTACTAGGTGGCTTCCCAAATCCTACCCTGAGGACTGTACGAGGGCTCAGCTCAAATATGTGATGTTGGGAAGATTGAAGCTAGAGGATGGGACATATGTCTGGAAATTACCCTAAGAACATTATTTTAAAATGCAACTTAGGGTAATAAATGTGCATTTCTTGAGCATAAAGCAGTTGAAAACTGCATTTGTTGCACCTCTAGAAGATTATTTGGTGAGTCACCGAGCCAGGAAACAGATGTAAAAATTCTGACGTAAGACGCTTAAGAGGCCTGAATGATGATCTCTGTTCAATCCTTTATGAACTGAAGCCCAGAGGAAGGGAAATGACTAGCCCAAGGTTACATTTTGCCTTGTGGTTTAAAAGATTTCATTCAGTTCTCAGCTTAGAAGAAACTTTGTTCATTTTTAATATGGCACATGGGTGCATTTTACACCTTGAGTTTATAGTCTGGTCTTGAAAATAACCAATGATTCAGTTGGCGCAAAAGAAGGATGACGGTGAGCCAATGAAAGGAAGGCCAATCTTACTTCCTGCTGGTGTCAGATTTTCAGGAGCTGAGTGCCATGGCTGTATGTCGTCTCAGACTCCAGATTCACTCCCCTGATGTTCCAACAGCTGGTGAGCAGAGAAAAGTGTGAAAATGATAAACGCAAATGTCAACCAGCAGGTTGCAACTAAGGGCTAAAAACAGGGAGATTGAGGGAACTGTCGCTGGGTATCAGCGCAGAAGGTTTCCAAAAACTCCATAATGGGTCTAAGGAAATTTCCCATGAAGGATGAAGTTTTAGGATCAGAATAAAAGTTCAGTGTTAACTAGAAAAACCCTGCACCAAGATTCTACTGCTCCACTTGGCTTAACGGGGCATTTGGACTTTTATGTCTTTCATCTTATGTGTTCTTATTTTAAGGACAACAATGCTCACCCTGTTTAATTTCCAGAGGAATGGGAAGGTAGTTCTTTTATGTCAACTAAGGGGGAAAGTTGTGTTGAGACACTAGATTGAAAAGTTCTTTGTAGTTTAAAGTTTGTTTCATTCTAGTAGCGTTTGGCTTTTAATCGCCCAAATTATGACTGTATTACTATTTCTTTACTTATTTAAAAAAATGAGGTATTCTATTTTTATGTCCAGCAATGTACCGGCATTTTGGTCACGAATCAAATAGGATGATTAACTTTACTCCCCAAGAATTCTGCTTTCTGAATCAGTGAGGTTTTATTTAACGAATGTTTTTTGAGTTGGAAGTTCTATATGATGATTACACTCTCTAAGGTAAAATGTGTGGAAAAAGGTGACTGACCTTGAGAAATATACAACTGCTGTGTTGGAGTTCTCTCAGGGTTGAAGTGGAGTAATAAAACCAGAAATCACAGAACGGTTTTCCATTTCAAAGACAGGCTGTCTGACCTTGCCTAAATAGTCTACGTAGAAACCAAGAAGGAACACGGAGAGGGAAATTGAGTTCCCCTCCAGGTGACACTCACCACAACCACCTCCATTAATACATCTGGGATTACAACGTGTGCCATTCACTTTAGGGTCCAGCAAGCTCTTGCCTAGAAATGTATTTCTATTCTTACTTGAAAAAATTCTGATCAAATTTCTATACCCCCTTACACCCACATGCGCACGTTAATTCCCCACCCTTCCCCCAATCATTCTTGTTTTTCAGTCTCCCTGAACTAGGGATATGGCAGATAAAAGAATTCTTTCTGATAGATATTTGGCTCTTTTTGAACAAGTTTTCTCTTGAAACCATTAAGGGGACTTACCAGATACCTAGACTCACCAGTATTTTAGATTCCTTGTTCACACTCAGAGGAAGGAAACTACATGGATTACTGGCTTCCATCATGCCTGGCATTGCCCCATTTGTCAGTAATCACCTCCTCACCGCCTCATTCAATGGGTGATTGTTCGTTCTCCATGTCCTATTCTTGTGCCCTGGCTGCCCGTCTGCTGGCTAGGAGGCAGCACTGCAGTGTCTCAGGTGAGCTGGATGGAAGTGTTGAGGTTTGTGTGGGTTTCTCTTTTTTTAGATTGTGTAATATTAAACATCAGGAGTTCAACTGGGAATATTTGTTTTTAGAGGAGGAATGGCCTTCTTCATTCAACGGCTGGGAAAAACAGTTGAAATCATGAAAGTGTGTTGTGACCACACAGGCATACTTTGTCTCCTAATGCGGTGAGATAGGACATAGAACATTCTAGGCTGATTTATATTGCTCTGACAATGAGGGGGCGGGGGGAGGGTTTTTGTGTTTACCTGGTTAAATGAGGGAGGTAAGACCAGGGACCGTCCCAGAGGAGGCACTCTAGACTCGGTGCAAGTCAGAGGCATCCTCAGTGGGTGTGTTTTCAGTAGTTAGTGAGTTCCAGTGTTCGAGGCCCAGGATCTGGATTTGAGGTCAGAAAATCAAGTCACTCCCATGGAAATGGATTGCTTTTTCTTTGTGCCCCAGTGGCATCTAGAGTCATGAATGACCTAAACCTTTGAGCGGAGTGTGGAGTGCAGACTCTCCTCCCCACCTCCTCTTCCCCTCCCTCTCCAGGAGCCTTGTGAGGACATTTTGCTCTTCATTCCTGCCAGGCCTTGCTTCCGCATTCTCTAACAACCAAAGATCCTTGTCGAGAGGGCAAAAGTCACAAGCATTTTTGTCATTAGAATGCCAGCGGTTATGTGTATCCATCTAAATAATACAGGCTTTGAATAAATGTGGCAAGGATTATAATGGCTTCTTGTTAATGACTGGAAAAAAAAGCAGGAGGGCCCCCGGGCTACACATCTTCCCCACCTGTGTTTCCACGCACCCTCTGCCACATGGCTGAGCCCCAGGGAGGATGGTCAATGGAACAAGTGCAAAGAAAATGGTTTGCAGCAAGAGCCTTTCTTTTCTTCAAATCAAAATCCCCCTTTGCCTCCCCTTTAAAACCCCATATTAGAGGGTTTGACCAGAAAAAAAGGAGGATAGACTATGCCCTGCTGTTGCTAGGTAACAGAAAAAAACCATAGCGATATTGGAACGATTTTCCCTAGGAACCTGGCTACTCTTGCTAAGTGATTTGTGTAGTGTTAACAGATTTGCATAATGGTGAGGCTAAAGGGTTTTCATCCTTCAACTCCTTTCTCCCCATCCCTTACCCACATCAACAAAATCCCAGATACATTATTTGTCTTGAGGTCAATTCTTGATTTTAAGATACTTGAGGGAAGGTGCTATGCAGATAAAAATACTATAGTTAATTGCATGTAGCTAGAGTATGCACTGTATTTCTAAGATCTTGAACCCATTTTTAAAAATAAATGGGTACCAACGTGACTGGTGTGGCTCAGTTGGTTGAGTATCGTCCCGTGCACCAAAAGGTCACGGGTTTGATTCCCAGTCAGGGCACATGCCCAGGTTGGGGGTTCTGTCTCCGGTTAGGGTTTGTACAGTAGGCAACTGATCTCTCTCTCTCTCTTCCCCTCTCTTTTTCTCTCTCTCACCCCTTCCTCTCTCTCTAAAATAAAAAAATATTTTAAAAAATAAGTAAATAAATAATAAATAGGTATTACCCTTTCTCAGCAATAGCAGTGTTTTCACAGCCTACAAATGGTGACAAGTCTGTTTATTTGACACGTCCCTAGGAGTATTTTATGAAGGTTATGTTTAGCCACAGGAGACATTTGTACACACAACCAAGTATATCTTAATCGCACTAATTAGATCATTAGATGCCTGTTTTGTTTCTTTCTCACTGGATTCTGCCATTCTCCTTGTGGCTGGCTGAGTCATAGTTCACCTGCCTTGTGGGTCTCATGCTGACTCCCCTGTGACCTGTGCTGTTTGTCTGTTGCAGATTTGGACATCTCCGAGGCTGAGTTCCCAACCCCCCCTGACTCAAACCCACCCGGCCCTGAGCTGCAGACATTTATAGCAGAAGCAAAGCTAAATCTACAGACACTGACCAGGCAAGATGGGGAAACTGGAGATGGAGCCGAAGAAAATATTGTTTACCTCTAATTGTGTTGTCATTATTTTTCCCAACAAAACAGAACACTGACATTTTGGGGAGAATTTTTATTTTCCTTTCCTGATATGTGTGTGACTGTGTCCAAATTGCTTTAAGAGTAATAATTAATATTTCATGCAAGTTCCTTTTGGGGGGCATGAGTCTAATAATTAAATTATTGAAAGCAGCTCTGTGTGTATAATGGTTAACTTACCATACCTAATTTCAGATTTCTGGAGGAGAAATTAACTTGAATAAGCAGAAATATTTTCAAAGTTCTGACTCTGGACTGAAATTGCACATTGCATTTTCTACTGAATCATCTGGTTTTTGAAATGCCTTTTAAGACCCAGATGAAGCAATTTGAATGGAAAGAATGATATTCATGATGGGCGAACTTTCACAATCACAGCAGTTGATTACAGCAAGTGGCCTCCCTGCCCCAGAGACAGAGGAGGCAGTGGGAAAGGCCTTTTCTTGCTTAGTTTTTCCATGCTAATTGCTCTTGGGGACATCAAAGGGTTGCTCCTGGTGGTGACCTGTCACAGTCCCGGTGCAGCCAACGTGTGCTATTTGGACACTGTTCTGAGCAGGAGGCCACTCTGCCATGGACACAATCTGGACTCTTATGACCTGCGCCACATGCTTCGCAGATGCACTTCCTCAGCCCAGTGCTGGTTGTTTTTCAAGCCACATCTTTCAAGAGAGCCCAGAGGCAAAGCTCCAGCGCGGTCAATTTTGCTGTAAATAGTGAAACTCCAGTAGTGCCCTCACTTCTCTCATCTGGTCCTGTCCTGCCAGGCCTGGGAGCACCAACTACCACTCGCTAGAAGCATCTCTCCCTCAGTTCCTTAAGGACAGGAACTGCTCTCTCGGCAAAGCTTACTGCCTGTTTGTGATTTTCCACAAAGGAAAGCTCTTACGTTCTGTCCTCAGAGTAATATGGGTCTCTGTGTGAGAAAATAAACCAGAAAATGTTTTCAGCTTGTTCTTCAGAAATACTTGTACATGTTTCGGTCAGTGTCAATAAATGTCCTTTACCTGTCTATTTTACTTTGAAATTTTAATATTGTGTAGGACCATAGTAAAATACATATATCACACACAAATACAAGCTCCTCTTATGAGAATGAGGTAAAGGAGGAGTATCAATTCACCTAGAATTGTAGCCCTTCCCAGGAGGGAGCTATGATAGGAAGGGGAAAAATTCATCGAGATTCCGTTGTTTGCTTGTTTTTTTCCTAAAGTTGCCAGTTGAATATCTAGTTGATATTTTCCACTTAGGCAAGTTAAATCTTAGTGTTTTTTTAAAGGAGCCTTTTGGGGGGCACTCTTTTTCTGACTCTTTTTGCTTTTGGCCATTTTGGTCCCAATCCTATATAATAAAAGGGTAATATGCAAATTGACCCTAACAGCAGAGCAACTGGGAATGACTGGTCACTATGACACACACTGCCCACCAGGGGGCAGACGCTCAATGCAGGAGCTGCCCCCTGGGGGTCAGTGCACTCCCACAGGGGGAGCTCTGCTCAGCCACAAGCCAGGCTGCCGGCTGCCAGCACAGCGGTGGTGGCGGGGGCCTCTCCCGCCTCAGCAGCGCTAAGGATGTCCGACTGCAGCTTAGGCCTGCTCCCCACTGGCAAGTGGACATCCCCCGAGGGCTCCTGGGCTGCCAGAGGGATGTCTGATTGCCAGATTAGGCCCGATCCCCTAGTGGACATCCCTCGAGGGGTCCCAGACTGCGAGAGGGCACAGGCTGGGCTGAGGGCCCCCCCCCCCCCGCCCCGAGTGCACAAATTTTTGTGCACTGGGCCTCTAGTCATATTATATTAAATTCAGAGACTAATTTCACAGAATGCATACAGTGTATTAAAATTTTAGTCAATTACTTCACCTCCAAGCTGAACTCCTACTAAATTATAAGATGCAGCTTCCATTCCTAAAGACATTTAGAGAAAAACAAACCTGTCTTTCCTCTCTTGCCAGCAAAGTCTATTCCAGAATCTGTGTCCCTGGAATAAAAACCATATAGATATTTCAGTCTATATCCTTGCTCCAATAACTATAAATAACTTCTTTTTTTTCCCTAACAGTGGATATGGAAATTACCACATGTGAAAATATATAAAAATGTTCCAAATCTCCATGGCACTCTTTAAAAATACGTGTGCTCAGTTGGTTTTTAAGCTCTGCAAAATCTAGGTATTCATGTCATCACCCTGGGAAGCCCTAGAACCTTTTGAGATACCTCTACTGTATTCATAGTTTCCTCTTTAATTTTATAATTTTTCAACTAAATATAACTGAGTTTCAAAGCTTGCTTGATAAGTTCTTCCTTTTCGCTTTGGCCTCACAATGTAATGAGCTCGGATCTCAACAGAGGTCACTATGTGGCTCCAACAGAAATTCCAGCTAACCTTTAGAGTAGAGTAGAACACCCTATTTCCCAGCATAATACATTTCCCCTCAAAGGATCTACTTTTCCTATGAACCAAAGAGCTTAAAGGAGACAGTCAGCTCTTGAGAGATTTGTTGTGGGGGAAATAGCAATGTTTTTGCTCTGTCCCAGGCTGCATGCGTTAAGTGCCATCTCATTTACAGCCCAAGCTACTCTGCATTTCATCAGGACTGCATAATGACTGCACTCATGCAGCACCTTCCAGCCCACCTACAACAGGAACTCTGCTCATTCAGAAAAGGGTAAAATAAAAATACTTGTTGCAGAGGTGTGGTGGCTGGGTGTATGCAGTAAGAGTTATGAAAGGCAAAGAAGGTAAGAGTTATGTAAGGTAAAGGCGAGCCTAATTAAATCATGGGATGACAGATAAAGAAGAAGAAAGGAGTATGTCCTCCTTCCTGTGACCTAGGTCCACCTTTCAAAGTCAGAATCAACCTGAGGTTATTAAGGTTCAACCTCTCTGTCCGCATAGCAGTTGAGAGTTGTTCTAGGTATGCCACTTCATCTCCGTAGGCTCGGTTTCCCCATCTATAAAACAGGGGTGCCTACCTTATAGAATTGTTGTGAGAATTAAATGATTAATATATGCAGTGTTATTAGGACAGAGCCTGGGACTTAGAAATCATTAATATATGCTAGCTTTTATTATCATATCATTAAAAATCTCTTAATAATTGCCCAGTCTTGTCCCAGCCCTTAGGCAATGGTACCTGCACATCCAGAAACAGTGAATAGAGAAGTCAGATGCCTGGAGGAGGCTTGTCATAAGACCTGGACTAGGGTTTCACAAGATTAGTTTCAACTTATTTGCATCCCTAAATCTCCACTCAACTTATTTATTCAATAAATATTTATTGACTGTCTGCTAAAGGCCAACCAATCTGTTAGGAATGAAGTTGAGATGAATAAGCCTGCAAGTTGTTGGAAAAGACAAACACGTGAACAGGTATGAAGAAGTACAGTTGCTTTGGGAGCTCATAGGGAGAGCATGTTGGGGCCAGGAATACACAGAATGGAGGGAGTTGTCTTAAAGCAGCAGATGCCTGAGGCTTGAAGGAGAAGTAGAGAGTCGGAGAGAGAGTGGGAAAGACATTCTGAGCAAGGAGAGCAACCCAGACAAAAGTCTAAAGGCACAAAACAAAAGTTGTGAGAGAGATGGGAGCACACATTTGGAGGTACTGCAGGGCGAGTTCCTCCCCTGGATTAAGGTGTCCAGTGAGAACCCCCTTCCGTCTTGCCCTCTCTCGTGCACTCTTGGACTAGTGAGGAACACAGAAGTTTCTCTCAACTTGGTAACTGATCTGGTTCCAAGGCGAGCCAGGCTATCAGGAATGTGTCCTCTCCTCCTCCCCTCACCCTTCCACACCCACCTCCACCATAAAGGGTTGTGGTCAGATGGCCAACTGGATAGCTGCTTACTGGACCCCAAGCCACAAGAAACCAAGAATAAAGGAAACCCTGGAACTACATGAAGATGCTATTAGAACAGAGGGGTCCAGAGGGTGCCTTGGGGTGCTCCTGAGACAAACTGATGACTTATATGAGTCCAAGCACAGGTTTAAGTGAAGGGGGAAAAAGAGAAAAAAAAGTACATACTTGGCTCTTCTGATTTATTTTCTTATCTCTGTTTTATTAAGGTGTTTTGGGGGGTACGTGTGTAGAGGAACATATTCCTTTATTTCTTCATCTTGCTTGACTCTGTGTTGGTTTCTGTGTATTAGATGACACAGCCACCTCTCCCAGACTTGAAGGAGTGGCCTCATCTAAGAGGTGGACCTTCCTGTCACCCCTGCCCTGGCCCTTGGTTGTCCCTGGAGCCTTTTGGTTGTCCAAGCAGCCTGTTTTCTTCTGCAGTGGCTCCAGTAGTGAGTGTGTGCAAAGACCTGCCCTGCTGTCCCCGTGGGGCTGACCTCAGGCAGCCTCTAGATTTAGGCTGGGAAGCCTGACCCTCAGGCAGCAGCTGTCAACACAAGCCTAAGTCCTGTTGGCCACCTTACCAGGAGATCTGGAGGTGTCTCTTGGGCGACAATCACAAAAATAGGAGCTCCAGATGAGTCTGTAAGTTCCTTTCCGGCCACACCTAGGCGGAGAGGGCATCAAGAGGGGGTCCTGGTTTATTCCGCCAGGGCCCTTCATGGGTCCCTAGGGTGCCCACACCAGGAGCCGGCCCCACAGGCCAAAGCTCCCCAACAAGCAAACAGGCCAATTTTTCAAAAAAGACTGGGGAGTATTTCAGCCTCTCTGTGCAGTGCCCTGGGGTGGTGGCCTGCCCGGAACTGTCTCTCTGACAGTTCCAGACCCATGGGACCCAGAGAGAGGGAGAGAGGGAGAGGGAGAGAGAGGGAGAGAGGGAGAGAGGGTGAGAGGGAGCCATGTAGCAATATACGTATTTTAGTTTTTTCTCCCTGAATACAAATTATATCATACTACACATCTGTTCTGAATGTGCTTTTTTTCTATCACATAACAATACATATTGCAGATATTTTTGTGTCAATATATATAGATACAATTCATTCAACTTTTTCATAGTTTATACTGTACAAATAAAATATTATTTAAAAATGTTACCAATAATGAGAATTTAAGTTACTTTTTTTTTTACTCCTCATCAAGGACACGTTCACTGACTTTAGAGAAAGAGGAAGGGGGAGAGGGAGAGGGGGAGGGGGAGGGGGAGAGGGAGAGGGAGAGAGGGAGAGGGGGAGAGGGGGAGGGAGAAGGAGAGGGAGAGGGAGAGAAGATGGTACCCTCTGAGGGGGGAATGTTGCCTGAGGTTTCAAAAAGGAAGAGAGCACGCAACTGTGGCCCCTGAGTACTGGGGGTACAGAGGACACGCCCCAGCGCCCCTGAAGAGTTTCCCTACACGCCCTGGCCCTCCGGCGGGCCAGCGCTTTAGCAACAAATTCTGTGGAACGGGAGTCTGGTGCTTTGCAAGCCGCGGGCTCTGCGCTGGGCTGGGCAGTGGGCCGCGGGCCCTTTAAGCGTCTCAGTGCCTCCCAGCCTTGGGGGCTCCTGGATGCGCCCTGCCCGCTGCTTTCAATGCCAGGTGTTTGGGGGCACCTCTCTCAGGTGCAGGTGGGAAGAGTTGAGGTGCCTGGTGGGAAGAACTTGGAACTTCTCACTCCTCGGGGAGGAACTGCAGGTTTGTGAAGCGCCCCCACCCCGCACCCTCCGCGCCAGGGCTGGGGCTTCAGCCTCTCCCACCGCCTAGAGGTGAGGAGCTGCCCAGCTGGTCCCGGCCTCCTTCCAGGAAACGTGTGTCCTGCGCGGCTGTAGATGCAGCGCCGCCACCTTGGTCGCCTCTGCTTTATTTCCTGACTCACCATGGCTCCCGCCTCCTCCCAGGCTACACGCCGGGCTCTGTGAAAACGGAACATGAAAACCAACCATGAGAAAGGAGTAGAGGAGACACATTAAGGGAGATCCCAGCATAATCTTAGGATGATTACCAGAGCTCTCCGTGTTCTTAACTACCTACCTCCCATAAACCAAGTGTGAGAAGAGGCAGTGAAAAGATATTTTAAAAAGCCAAACAGACTTGAGCTGTGCTTGCTAACTCCGCGGCCAGGGCCGCAAGGGTGCGCA